GAGAAGAACATTTTGACAGTGTTCATACAACCACACAATCTACTTTGTAATACGAATCCGAATACGTCACCAAGGAGTATCGACATCATTTATACAAAGTCACATTACACTCACAACTTAAGTTACGTCTAGCAATGGAGACTGTATTGCGCGCCGCACAGGAGATAATAAATCCCACACGGGAAAATGCAGATGCCAAAAACACATCGTCAACAACCGTCGCCCCCGGCGACAGCACAGGAATCATCAGTTTAATCAAGAAGAACGTCATAAGGGAAGGGGAAGATACCAAAGACGCAGGAGCCATCTCACCACCCGAGTCCGGGACCACAAGCCCGGCCTTGATGCCCGTTGGAACTGCATCAAAGGCGGCCTTGTCATTCCCTGCACCCATCTCCACATCCACAACTGGACTAAAACCAATCTCCCCACCCATGTCTCACCCTTCGAGCCCAACATCACCTATCAGATCGATTTCCCCACCTTCCCCCCCTCCTCATTCCAGGCAGTTCGTGTCGACCTCCCCACCTACACGTATTTCCTCAGCTTCGTCAAGTCAAATCTTTGAGAGAAACGTGCAAGAATCTCATTCGTTACCGCTACCTCCTTCTACTACTGCGTCACCACCGACGGCTAGCAAGATTCCGGCACACATTGCAACTGAGAATCATATCCCCGCTGTCCTCGAGGCAAGCAGTATCGCAATCACTGACGGAAACATCGACCCTGAGAATGTCGAGATTGCAATGCTTACCACCCACCAGCCGCTTGCGAGCCAGGTCTCCCAGCACGGCCACAAGGAGAAGGAGAAGGATAAAGTAACTCTTGTTGAACAAGAAGATTTTCTTCCCCCGTCAACCTCCCATTCGGGGCACTCCCTGGGACCCTCGTATACGCAAGATAAACGTCGCCTGAGCTTCATCAGTTTTTCGGACATTGTCCAAGCCGAGCAAGCGGACCTCTTGGACTCAACCATGCTCAGCCCGAGCCCATTACAGACGATGAACTCTGGGTTTCCAGCACAGCCGATGGTTGACCAAGCGGGTTTGAGTGGGATTACGGAGACGCTGGTGAGGCGGAGGAGCCCGAGTCCGATGAGAAGGGGGCAAGGAGCCTTACCAGGGAGCCCCCCAGGACTAGTGCAAACTTTTTGCCCGAGCGGAGTAGAGATGTGGAGGAGGGCGTTATGGTGGAGACCATGGGACAAGCCTTGAGGAAGACTGGGAGTGGAGATTTAGGCAAGGGGATATACTAGAGAGGAGGATATGTATTGGAGGCAGTATGTGTGGAACATGCACGATTATCCTATAATAGTTGGGGTACTGCCTGGTGCTTATGTGGGCCCTTTCATTTTACTCTGTGTGCTCTGGGTCTACGGTTCATTACTTATTTTTGCTAAAGCTGTACAGCTTTGTAATTGGATCTGGTGTTTCTTGGGTAGTTTAGGTGTTGTTTATTTTTTTTTCTTCGCGTGGCCTTTATGCCTTGATGTCAGAGTGCACTTTCAGCAATTATGATTTGAATTTACTTTCTGTTGAGCGTGTTTATTCTTCCTTGTGGTTCTCCTTCTATCCATTGTTTCTCTGCACTTAACGCGAAGCTCTTTCGTTTGGAGGTTTATTAAACTTTATTTCTCGATGAATTTTCGTGCCTTTTCTTGAGTGACTTTACTGGACTGGCTCCGGCTGGATGTGCTTATCTTTGATATGAGAAACAGTTATTTTATACTTTGGTTTTCGATGGGCATTAAGTAGAGTGGTAGAGAGACCGAGGAAACCCGTGAGACTTTTCAAATCTCCATAATCTGGAGGAGGTAGGTAGTATCGTAGCTTCCGCCGGAAGTATCAGGCAGGGTTTCTGGAGGAGTGGGCCATACCACTCCTACCATCTATCACGGTACTTCTTCCATCATGGAGATCTTAAGAACCCGCCCCCGAGAGGTGCTGGGAGAGGGTTCAATGGCGAAACGTCGCGATTAAGGTGTAGGTGTGATCGCCGTTGTTGAAACGGCAACTAAAGGAAATTGACATAAGAAAAATTGGTACTATCGCATACGGATACTAATCACTCATCCTAAACCACACCCCACCCCCCTATCCATAAGATCATCAAGAGCTGGGCATGTCGCCCAATCCCCCCCTCTTCTCCCAGAAAAGAAGCCCACGACACCACCATCCCCCTCATCATCTACCACGATTGCCGCACCACAAATACCCTCTGTCACCGCGCCTCCTGTGGGTCCTATCAAATGCATATTGTGCTCCATGTGGGGCTCGATCGTGGGTATAACTACGCCAGAGTACCGAACAGTATGGAATCTAGAGAAGAACATCCCACTCGAGCAGAGACTGCACCGGATCGTAATAATCTCCTAGGTGCCTCCGCCTCAAAATATTGGAGATTGCTAAAACTTATTGAGGGGTAAAGCTGTACGAGGGCAATATCTAGTGCTTCGAACCTTTCCATTATCTCCCCAATTTTGACCCCTTCGCTGTGGGATGGAAGACATCGTTGGTGCCCAAAAATCCATGGTTTTCCACAGTCAACCTAAGTGCATCTGTGTTGAACGTCGACTTGACTAGAATACCCATAGTGGTTGCCATTGTTAAAGTCCAATAACTTTCCCTCGTACTCACTGGAGCGCTTTCCAATCTCACACCAGGACAGAGACACTTCCACTGAACATAGCAATTTGTCATGTCCTGTACGCTTCTCCCTGGGTCGAGGAGTCTCTTCCCCGCCCGGTTGTTCAGGTTAAGAAATGTAACAGTGCGGCTGTGATGGCACATCGTCGAAAGCCCCCTGACGAGGCCTGGTGAGCTATGCTGAGCATAAGTCTTCCCATCCGTGGCATCTAATTCAACATAAATTGTTGGAGGGATATAATTGATTGCTGTGACTGAAGCAATAGCCGCAAGTACTGTGTAGATGACCTTTTGTTGAGCTGGGCTGGGTAGTACCCATCGACCTAACCGAATCTGAGGGACGGGGTCTGGTATTCTAGGATTGTTGGCAATACTGCTGTTCACACTCAGATGCCTACGTTAAAACCAGGTGGGACGAAGAGTGCTGCAATGGAGGCTACTGTTAGGGAGATGTCGCTAGGGGGAGAAGGTGTTTCGATAATCATCTCTGGCCAGCAGTACGTAACAGCGGTTGCATGAAAATCGATTTATAATCCACTGAGACCTGAAATCGTAGATCTCGGGGTCCCAGAGCGCATAATCCAAGATGTGGCGGAAACATTTCTATGCCACATTCCATTGGTTTGGGGCGAGATCGAGGTTACAGGCTGCGGGGTAGGTGTGCATGGCTATGGAGCCCCGCTCTGCTGAAGGCAACGTGTGAATGTCAGCCGAGTAGCGCGGGTGAAAAGAGGAGGACAGTTGAAACTGACTGATTGATAATCTGGAAGGAAAACAGCAGGAATGAAGTGGCGTAAACGAAGACAGAGAAGACAGAACGATTTTCCGTATAAAATCCCTTTCGGATCGAGACTACCCCTTTCGTCGAGTCTAAGCTTCCTGTGCCAACCAGACTAAATCTTCAACAAGTCCCGAGTGGGAAACAGCAGGAATGATTTAGTCACAGCATAAGCACACAAATTTTATAATAAGGCTGATGTCACTTCTTGGCTGGGCGCAGCAACATAAGGTTCAAGGTAAAGCCAAAGTGGGTAACAACAATAACTAAACGTAAAAGCTTGAAAGTTCCTAGGGCGTATAGCATCATAAGTAAGACCTCAAGTTGCCTAGGAATACATACAAGTACATATGTGCACTGTACCTTTATTTGAGACTTGGTAATACAAGCAACTTTTCCTTGTGAACCCGTATGGTGTAAAGCAATAAACTACTAGAAAGTGTTTCTGCAATTCGTTGCCACACAATTTGTATAGGGATGCCAGATTAGCAACAATGGCGCAACTTGTGTTGGAGGTACTAAAAGATTGGGTCTGTAATTCTTTGGGGCGTGGTAAGTCTCACTCGTGGTCCCAAGTGCTCATATTTATGATTATATATATTGATTCTCAGCCAAGCAAGGATCCTCAACTTGAAGCTGAAGTAGCGAGAGCCACAAAATACTTGATATAAGTACCCGCAGAAGTCTTCTGGCCATCCGATCCTACACCGGAGGGGTGTAGATCTGTATAGTATATTTTGTCGTGAGCAAAGAGTTCTTGATGGAAAGGCCAGGAAAATGCCGCAGAGGTTCTAGCAGAATCTGATATCCTGATATATGGTTGCGTTAGCCCCTTACGTACGTAAACAAGACTAACGTAGGTACAGTACACATCTACCAAAAGGTTAATGTCCTCAGGCCTCAGGCCCATAAGTTGGTAAACTCATACAGTACACGGAAACCAGCAAAACCTAGCTTTTTGCAGCAAAAATCCTTCCGTCCCGCTTCAAGTTTGTTCGCCTCTCTACCCATGAAAGCGGGTTTGTTTGACTACATGCATAACTGATGGTTCGGCTGAGGACATTTTGTTCTAAATATACCCGGCCTGAGGAATTGTGCTTTTCTATGTTGTGCATTTTTGTACACCTTTGCGGTCCAAAGCCCTATTTGTAGTTAATTTTTGGCTACAGTTCTATTTCATCTATTCATAATTGTTTCTTCTCTTCTTTCCAGTCAGGGTTGAACACTGGTTCCTTTCCTTCAACTTCCCTCACCTTTATCTAGGTTTCTGGGTGGCTCCCAGAGGGAATACAAGTACTAAATCTTCCTTCTATAAATATAAGAAAAAAAATGTCTTAACTTCAATCTGGGTGATAATATTGTGATCTTAGTTGACGACTCCTCACTTGAATTCGTATAGCTACATCCGTCAAATTTTAAATCTCAAAAGATAAAACCAAGCACCTCCTCAAGGCTCGAACCCGCGTCTCCCACAGGCGTCCCCGCACGTGGCAAAAATTGCATATAACCACATAAACCTTCCTCATCCCCAATCCACAACCGAATTAAAAAGTTTCAAAATAGTAACAAAAAGAAAATGCTGGTGCGAGGATTTGAACCTCGATCTCCATGACCTTTGTGGCGTGTGGGCCCGCAGGTCTCCTCTCAACTCCGTATGGGGGCATTACGAGAGGTCGGCGTGCTACCAATTGCACCACACCGGCTTTGCATGTTTGTGTCCTAAGCGAAGGAAGTATGTAAAGTGATGGTTGAACTTTGATTCAATGGGCAAGTTTTTATGTAAATCAGTTTTATTTATGCCATCCCACACCCACATGCACAGAAAATTCCTTGCGTACCGATGCTCAGTAATTAACTATAATATCCTGGATTCTCGTGAGGAAATGTTCAGTTTTCATTCAGCTTCCACTCAGCTTCGACAGTATATATAGGCTCCTAAGCTAAATCCCTCCGAAGAATCCCGTGGGAGGGGTTGTTCACATAACTGAAGAATACAAGGACCTCGACGGACATTGATATATCAATATCGACCCCTTGAGCACAGGACCGCTTACAGACATGTGAGCACGTTTTTGTCTCTACTTAGATGTTGTCTCGTGCTCATATATAGGATTGGTACACCTGTAATGCAGGGCTTCTCATATTCAATCCCCTTCATGTACACTTAATGCTTGTTAATAAGTATCTCTGATTGTATAGAAAATTTTTGTCTGGGCGACTGGTAGAATTTTGATACAGGTGGGCCAATAGACATACAACATGTAAAAGGAAAGAAGTGCGAAACAGCCCTCTATATCTTATTTTTTTTGGGTTAATATATCTTAGTTACCCTCAAGTCAAGTCTATCTAGTTACTTATATCAAGCCCCTTGGAAATGCAGATTTGAACGTGGCTTACCTCATTTGAGCATGAGCTTATAATTAGAACAAAGGGTCTACTACATTATGACACAGTACCTTTTTCCACATAGCAATGGAAGAAATAAAACATTTTGCTGAGGGGCCGATTGCAAAAGGAGATATCATATTTTAAGGAGTATCGTCCCTTCATATCATTGCAAAGCCACAGGCTTGAATATACCGAATCATAACAGAACCCTATGTTGGTTGGGAACTTATTTCATCAGCAAGATTTTCATTCGGTCGCAATTTTTTTTTGTCTGACCCCTCCCTTCGCATCAACTTCGTATACATATCGTTGTTTAATATGCATAGTTCCATGGGGTTTTGTAAATGCCAGCATCTAAAAGGTCACGGGGATGGGGGGTTAACCGACGACAGAAAGCAAATTGCGATATATTGAACAGCTTAGTATGACAGAGATATAGATGGGTATCAAATGTATGTCTCATAGTACTATAATATCGAGCAGTTAATAATATTATAATCTTGAAGTTGGTGGGCAAGTCAGACGCGCCTTAAGCTTAACTTATTGCGTTAGATGCTTGTAGTTGATCTCATGAAGCACAGAGTAAGTCCGATCCCTTCCTTTCTCTAATTCCTACAAGCAAGGAACTTAGTTGGTAGGGATTAATACTGGACCCTCTGTATATTCAGCAACTTGCCGTAATAATATATGTAAGCAGCTAATCCCAGGTGAGTCTTAAATCAACCCTTGCATTGTACAGTCTAACCTTGCTATACCGGACGACCAAAATCCAGCAATTTCTGTCCGGTATAGCAAGGTTCCGGTATGAAATAATACAAGGGTACGTGGGACAAGACAAAAGTTACCAAGGAAGGAAAATTCTTCAACTTCCGTATGTTTGAACATCAAGCTCAAGATTCATCAGTCAACATGTTGCGTGCCGGAAAACAAAAGCGTCGAGCGCTCACCATATTAGAGAAGCACCAGATCTGTAAAAAGCGACAAGATCCTAAGCATGCGAAGGAGAAATTGAGTGAATTTGGAAATCATTTCTTAGACTCTGAGGTATGAAGAATGGTAAATCTATGTTGGTAGAGATCCTAATATAATCAAGGTCGAGCTGTACCAACATCTACATTGTCGGACATCTTACGTGATACATAGTAAGAAATGGCTTGAGGTTGATGTTACAGCAGTCGATTCATGGAAGTAAAAGGAGCGAACATCTCAATACCCGGTTCTGGAGCAGTGTCTACTTAAGGATTCCGTTATAGCAAGGGCAAAATATATGTAGATAGTAGTAACTTCTCTGTATTCGCTGTCCAGTCCGGTATAAGCAAAAATCCGTTATAGCAAGGGTGATTTAGGTGAAAAGTAACTAGTTTGGTGGCGGGGCTTAGGGGTATTCCGGTATAGCAAGGTTTCCGGTACAACGAGGTCCGGTATAGCAAGGTTAGACTGTACTCACAGTTTGCCGAGGAAACGATGATCAACTGTATACGGTAATTAGAGATAGAAAGGGCAAGAATGGGGGGCGGGGGAGCGTATTTCAACCTCATCAGCACATAAATTTACAATGAGCGTCTGGGTTTAAATTCCCGCGTAGTACCAATCTCATCTGTTCCCTATTAGGCCACGAGTCTTGTGTCTGTAAGGATCAGTAGAAGAGAGCCCTATTTCTACATTTCCAAATAATGGGAGCTTCCACCTGACGATCAGATTATCTCAGCCCCGCAGTAGCGAAGGCTCTGCATGGATAGCTGCATTGCTAGGGCCCGAGCCATTGACGCATGGTCAGCAGGACTCCCGTCTTCCTTCCTTTGTTTGTTTGCAACAACCCATCCTAGTTGTATCTCAGAGCCAATACATATACCTATCTCCACTCCCTGCCCACCCCAACACTTGTCGCAATCCCCCCCGGGGCAGCGGCATTGCTGCAATAAACTCGAATGTATCCAGAAATCAAACACACAACCTTGCTAATATGCACAGCCGTGCGCGTGATGGGAGCTGTGCCGCTCTATGGTATGGACGGCCATAGAGAGGGCTAAGGGGTTGGGGAGGTGCATGCTCAATAGGGTAAATTATAGTTGTAGCGCAGATATGTGCAGGACATAGGAAGGTACTTGATATATGTGTGTTTATGTATGCGTCAGGCATTGATAACTGTTGCAATAGAGCTGTATGTAATTTGCTAGAGAAAATAGACATAAGAGAGCTGAAAGTCCGTCTATGTGTCATACTTCGTAGTATAGAGTGCAAAAGTGGTTGAGGCAATACATTGTGATCCTCCAGAATAAACAACTTTAATTGAGACCTGGCCTGGTTGGATAGTACAATACGGCAGCTGTATTTTAATTACAATCACAATCATTTGGAGAGTAATCCACTGACAGATCGACAAGCCGACGAGAGAATTCGAAGTCAGCCATGCTCATGGGGATCAGTTGTGTAGTTTGATAAATCACATTTTAAATCCAAATTGCAATGTACCAGTCTAGATCTGGTCGGCCCAGTTGAGGAAGTGGAAAAGAGACGAGGTTGGACGTTTGCGAGGGACCCAAGTACCGTATGGCAGCAATGAGGCGAGTGGAATATAGTATGGCAGACTAAGTGGAATATTCCGTCGCTCCTAACCGGAGTAGAACGGGAAGATGGATCGTCACGTGAAGGTGTTCGATTGCCAAAAGAGGAAGCCGGAAATGAAAGAGGGGAATACTTGTCAGCTTTGATCGCATTGTATTGGGATCAGCACAAAGTATCCTCTCGAATACTTACATGATACCTACTCAACTCTTTTGATAACTAAAATACACGAGGTGATCCAGCACAATTAGGAGCCCATCACATTACTTTGAAATGTGATTATGCGGTCAGGTATACAAAAGCCAGGTCTCAGAACCGCTATCTTGGTACCTAGGTACCTTTATACATATAGTAGCTTAAGCACTGAGTAACTCCCAATGACCAAAAAGGCATTTATCTCATGCGGGATGATCTGTTTTGCATTGGCTAAGGGCCAGATTTCTGGTCTGTGGATACCTGTCAGGTAGAGTCGTGTGATCAAGACGCTCTTGGAGCTTCTTGAGTTGCTGGGGTACTCTAGTCTGGACTGTTGCTGGTGTTCCGCATGATATGACAAAGGTTACAATCTTCACTGCTGAGCTGCCTTGACTGAGCTGCCTTGACCAATGTTACTTGGGCAGTGGGATTGCGTTTGTCAGCCAGAAAGTGTTCCGTAGGTTCCTGCAGGAACCAAAGGTGTCCTGCCGCATAGGGCTCCCTGTCCCGGGATATTATCGGCAGTCACTTGTTGGTGATCAGGAGATTTATTTCCCCTCTTGCGGCCAAGCGAAATGCAAGGATATTACGTATCATTGTGCAACGTAGAACGGAACAAAGAAGCGCACGGAGCTGGTATTGCGGACTACGGTATTTGCAAGGATTCGGGTATTCGAGTGAAAGCCAGGAACAGACGCGCTTTTGGTTGGGGGGCCCAAGCAAGGAAGGGGTGGGTATTGTTTTTGACTTCAATGTCAAATCGAAACCTGAGCTGAGGCCATATCAGTCCCTAAAGGAGATGTGATGTGCAGGGCGGAGCTCTGTACTAAGTAGGGTAACCACTTCCAGCAAGAAATTTGCAAACGAAATAGAAAGCATGTCTTAAAAGAATGACACGGATGAACTTCACTTTCATGCACACGTTTCGAAATGCATTTGAATGATGTGCATGTGGGTGTACGGCGGCGATGCATATCACAAGAGAGTGCAGGGTGCGGACGGACTCGGTGCAGGGGCCATGGCGAAGGGTATGAGATTTCTCAAGAACTGCCTAGTGGAGATGCTGATGTTGAGGAGATGCTCAAGGGAAGTTGCCAGCCAGAGTTTCAGAGTTGCTATCAATTCCGAGTCCAAGTTCAGATTGCATCTGCCTAGAATACCCTGATGGCATAGTGAGAGATATTCATTACGTTCCAATGACCATTGGGGTTTTGGGAGCTTACATAGAAGTCAGGGATGTAGTTAGATAATAATGTACCCAATGTAGATATTTGATTGAGGCTGTCGTGTTGAAGCTGTACGAAGTATGGGATGTAGAGTGCGTAAGCCACCCCAAAGTTTGCGTCTGATCATGAGGGGCTGGCAGATGAGCGAAAAGCAGCAATGCATATGTAAATTTATGTAGCTTGAGTAACACAATCGCAACCCCTAGTGCCTAAGTAGCATGTATATACAACCACCATCAACGAGTACTTCAACCGAGGGCTTCCACCCCCGAACCGTCTGCTCTGAACATACTTGCCTCCTACTTCTACGCCACTCAGTCGAGCCCGGT